AATCATACCTGGCTTGGGAACTCGTTGATTCACCTAACGGTGGATTACTCACATTCGTGTGGGTTATTTCGCTGCCTTCTTGAGCGCTTGAGAAGTAGTATTGAGCATAGCACTGTGAAAGAATTGGTCTGCGATAGACACTCAACGTAAAGCGTACCTAGAAGTTGATAAAGCTGTTTGTAGGGTTCTGGGTTCTGTTAGGACCGTAATTGAGGTGAAGATACCTGGGATAGTTTTTCCGGGTGGATTACTAGGTTTAAAATGAATGTATTAATCCTGAATGATGGGTATTCATGAATATGACCTACGAGTCTAGTTGTATGGTACTTAAATTATACGTTCTAGAAGTACCGTAAGTCTGAGGTTGCGATAGGACGCTGAACCACCCACCCTGGTGAAATAGAATCAAATTTAACACTGGACACAACGTCTAATCCGATTTGAGATGGCGATTTCAAAGGTGCAGACTGAGCCCGAGAAGGGTCTAGCCTAAATGCTACTATGAAATCTGTATCTGTGGTGGTGTGCCAGGTAATGTCAAGCGTTAGGGTGCCACCGCTGAGAGTCGCAGCTATGGGATCAACATCCACGATTTTCACGGCCTTGGTACGCCAGAGGAATGCGAGTCCAATGCCCCTGAATTCACAAGAGTTGGACGCTCAATTGTTAACAAGACGATATAACTCACACCAATAGTTTCAGCATACTCGGAGAAACAAGGGAGAGCTCACAACGCGAGGGTTGGAAAGAATCGTTGTCTCCAAGCTCACATGAACGAGGATTTTATACCAATGCTTCATCTTGATCATCATCTCGAACACCTTTCGTTCCAAGTCATGATATAAATCAATTAAGATGATGATATCATGTTCGTCGCAAGAATCATCCAGCGTGTGTGGTTTCTAGTCCTCGCGATGCCACTGTTAACCCAGGGCAAAGCTTGGTTACGACACAGATACCAAATACTGATACAAACTATCACCGCATCTTGAGGAAGAAAAGGTCTAAGACGAGGTTGTGAATGAACAAAGCACGGCGATCAAGCATAATGAGAACAATGACCACAGCATAATGATCATCTTGAGAGCTTGATTTCTCCTACAAACAGGTGTTTATACCCACCATCCCGGTAACGATGGAAACCTGACGAAAAAATCCAAGCTAAAAGGTACCATTCATGATCGTTGGAGAACATGCCTGTAAGTTGAGCACAGTGGTGTATACGAAAACGAGAAAGTGATTGATGGGAGCAACACAAGTGTCCTTTGTCGGGGGAGCGATGGTAGTATAGTAGCGGTAGGGATGATCGGTCTTCGCGTGCTGTATCTGTAGTATGAGCAGAGAATGCCCATCGGGCATATTCATATCCCCTAAATCGTGAGCTTGCGGATTTACACCTCCCAATCGTTCTCTCTGTCGCCTGCCCTACGTCCACGAGCCGGTCGTTCAACAAGGTACCATATACGCAAGACGCCCATACACCCTTTCCCTCGCCTACCCATCGCTACGTTCCGACACAAAAGCGGAAGAACCAACCAGCAAGATGCCGAAAGCGGGGTAATGCTGCATGTCGATATAAGGATAGGTTAGGGCATAGCAAGGTTGGGCGAAGTTGCCGGTGGTTCTGATACATCTCATGAACGGGGAAATGCGTGTTTGAGGGGCTTTCTTCAAGGATAAGGTGAGGCATATGCTGTAACCTCAACGCTGACATTGAGTATTGAGGTATGATGTCGATGAGAGCTAGAGTGAGTATACGGTAAGGAATGGAATGCATAACGATAGAAACGGTTCGTACCTGCACCCCGTTCTGAGCTCCGATTGTGGGGGCATGCGGGAGGCCTTTTTGACATCTTCCTGGGTAGGTATAGGCTTCTGAGTGCGGCAAAAGGCAACAAAGACATGAGATAGAGAACCTGAGAATGAAAAGAAAGTTCATTACGAACTCGGGTGCCATTCTCTTGCTTGAGCTACTACAACATTAATATGTCAGATCTGGAGAGTTGAAAGCTCTAGTCGAATGTCCTTTTGAGAGAGCGGGGGAAGCGAAGAAAGGAAAGGCAACGAAGGACGTCCAGGGCACGTTGGTTGAAGAGAGAACGTGTAACAGTGTCACGTCAGTCACAGCAACGGTCATCTGTCGACTGACTAGGGTTAAGGTTCGGCTGTACTTAGTTTCGAACGCCCATCTAACTTATCTCCCTAGTATCTTTGAGAATTGAAATAAAACTGAATAAAATGACCGATTGTGATTAGAGAAGTGTGACTGGACCAACACGTTCTCTGATCAGTGATAGGTGTGCCATTGATAGCAATATACCTAATAACCTGTGACCGTATCCGTAACCTGGACGAATGGTTTCTTCCATGCCTCAGACAATATGTCACATTACCAGCATCCAAAATGCGTGAAATTGCCTGGTAGAATACCGGTGATTACACACGTGTGATGTCCAAACCGAGAGTGATCATCCACGCAAAAGTTGGGCTCGACTCCCAGCCAGGGAGATGGCATACCTTCAAAACTGCTCTTTTTACAGGCTATTTGCCGGATTTCTCCCCACAGTTAACAGGAATCAGACAACTAGACGTTTGGAATCCTCCAATCAACCCGCATGCCCTAATTAGTGGTGGTACACGGATTGTGTTCGCGCCTAGTCTCCCAAACTTGTCCCAGACGCAAATCTGGCGTGTGTATAGCGATTAACCATTCCCGTCGCCTGAGCGACAAGGAAGTACTGTTGATATCTGCCTCAAAAATTACCAGTCACGCTCTTCCAAAGTATTCCTAAATATTTCAGGATCACCGATGTCGGATGGTGCATCGTGACATGCTCTTCCTTCGCCTTGGTTTATCACAACGGACGAATTGAGCTGAGACTCGGAGAAGAGTCGCGGTGGCTTTACAGATCCCGGAAGACAATCCCTGGTAGCATACTGGTTAGTACTCGCGCCTGTCATATGTCGGATGTGACTAAGGTGCTGCGCGAAAGCACTCCCAATCAAGATTACCCTAGTCTGAGTTCATTCACATGATTCCGGTTGTGTTCATGCATCTGAATAGTAATGCTACTACTGTGACGGATTTGTTTGGTAAGTGGCTTTACAGGGCGTATGAGAGGAATCCTGGCAGTACATGGGCCAGTATGCACGCCTGTCATGTGGAGGTAATCAAATGTTTCCGCGCAAAACACCTCTGACAGTGGTGCCTTTAAATCTCTCATGTACCTACATATGGAGAGTACCATGAGTCTGACGCATCGATAGCTCGAGAATAATGTTCCTTTCGCTTGTATATCGAAAAGAGTCATCAGTTCCAGAGTTCATCTCGATTCTTTACACGCTCGTATACCCAGAAATGTTGGGGCACGACGATGACACGGAATAGTTGACTCACCAGAACACTATTGTGATTGTGATATCGGGAAGCAATACTAGACGACAAACGTGAAGCATCGTTACATAGCTAACTCCCTGCCAGTGTATCGGTCAGTACACGCGCCTTTCATGCGATCCCAAATTTCCGCCTCGCAAGAGCTGGGTTCAACTCCCAGCCAGGGAGATACCGAGGGTAACGTATGTCCTTGTTTTCATTTTATTTCTCTCTCTTGGGACCGGTGATGATTCAGATGATTCCATCTATTCGGCGGCGATATATACAAAGTCTTTCCTTTGCCTAAGATGCTGGACCAGTCCAATATAGTCACAAAACGCCCCGCCAGACCTATCTGGACAAACGCTACCTTGCACCCTTTGTTCCTCGTCCCTTTTTGTACCTCCCTCCTCCCGCTTTACACCACCTGCCTCCCCTTCATCCAAACACACATACCTTCTCTCGTCGTATACACTACGTTCAGCTTGGAGTTGGCGGTGTACTCGCACACTATCCGGCGAGGTTATACATAGCGTGGAGATAGGGCTATGCGTGAAGGATGACACAGCCCAATAATGAAACTAGTCAATCTTCTCGTTCGTGGGTCGTATACCGATAGAAACTGGGGATTGAGGGTGAGTAATGATACGGTAGGTCTTCGAATGTGTTTCGTACTTAGTGTGGGGATGGGTATGTTTCGTTGGCAGGCGTCGCGTGCAGGGGGTAAGGGCAAGGGCAAGGGAAGAGGAAGGAGGACGTACCGTATATAATAATGTCCCTCAAATACACCCCATAGACCTCAATCGACCATCTGCCCTTCTTTTTATACCTTCTTTCCAGACGCTTCAACCGATCTACAAATGCCTGGGGCTCGGAAGCGGTATATGAAGTGGACCCAGCTCATCGAGAGCGATTATGCGGATGTTGTCTTGTGGGCCTACTAAGGTTTGTATTGGCGCGAATGAGCCTGTACGACGGACGCGGAGTTGAAGTGGTATGGAATGAGTAGAGTTGAGGAGGAAGGTTTGGAAAAGACAGGAAAGAGTGACGTATCAACGCCGAAACCGCCTCCGTGGGGGATAATAAGCGTTGTGTAGGAGGCTGGGCATGGTACGCTGCTGTCGGTGAAGGAGATGCTGTCTTGGGGGATGTAAGCGTTGGTGAACATGGTCAGCTCGAGATGAGGGATTCAAGAGACCTATAGTCGTCTGTTTGAGTTACTGCACCCATTTCGTGTGGCAGGAAGGCCCATAAGAGAAGGAAAAAAGAGTCGTTCAGCGGTGGTGGTGGTTTTGAGGAAAGGTGTAAGCTTTACGTCAATATCAGCGACCCCGGGCACAAAAGTTCCTCTTTACCTCCGCCTGAATACACCCCTTCCGGACATCGACATCAAGGCAGATGCACTCCCTGGCAACTCCCTGGTAGCTTATCGGATATTTCATGCTGCGCCATATTAAAGGCACGCTGTACCTCGACGCATCATGACTACCAATTTCACACTTCCTCTACGGTGAATAATCTCATTGACAGCCTTAATCGTCGTTCTGTCACAAAACCTATTCTTGTTTCTTCTCCAAAATTATTGTTCCTGTATCTCTCTCAATGTCAATATCAATATCCACGCGTTGCCTGGTAGTATAGGGGTTAATACACGTGCCTATCATGAATGTTGAAATCTGGGCTCGATTCCCAGCCAGGGGCACTGGACAGCTCCTTAGTATGTTTTTTCTCCTCGAGGTCTTGGCCCATATATAACACTGCCTAGTTGAACATTGGACTCTCATCCAGATATCTCTTTGCGTTCATGTGTGCGATGCTTATCGAGTTTCAGATATATAACGGAGTCATAAGAATTCAATTAGGGATATCATTCACACGACACGGGCACTCCCTGGTAGCGTACGCGTCTATCGAACGTGTAAAGCCTGGTTTCGACTCCCAGCTAGGGAGTTGCGTCTGCACCCTGTCACATTTGCGTTTTTGTTCCTATTTACTACCTGGCTGCAGACGATCGTCTCTACGTAACCTTGTTACCTTGTGAGTCGTGGTTCTGGAAGGGTAACACCCTCAACACCCTCGTCTCGGTCTATTCCAAATTCCGAGGACTTGTTTCTTGTGGAACCAGGAGTGGATCCTGCTTCAAAGCCTTGTATCGAGTGTGGTATGGTGTCGGTGACGAAAAATAGCAATCACTGCTATGCACCTCGCACCAAACAACGATTAATAGGATAAGTGATGGACGATGTCCTTGGTAGTATACTGGTCAATACACGCGTTTATTATACCCGCTCGTTGAGCAGTGCGTGCCGAAGCTGGGTTCGGCTCCCAGCCAGGGAAATTAGCCTGTCTAGGATGGTCTCTTTTTCCCGGAGTCGCTTCCATTGACATAACCTTACACCTCTTCTCATGACCACCACCAAGGTCGAACACCTTTTTCCTTTTACTTCTTGTGTTACATCCTCACATGCACGAGGCAGTTGATCGTATGATAATGGCCCAATATATACCTGAGATGACACGGCAGATGGGGGCAGGCACCGCACTTTGTCTCCCGCTTGCATCTCTCCACACATCCCATCTCATTCTTTTATTACTCATCTGCTTGTCTAAGTTGTTTGCGTACAGCCTTTGTTTACTCCCATCATAAGCTATAGATTTGTCGTGCTATCTCGGCCTTTCGCCTCGCGTTACCGCCTGCTCGCGTATGGAACCTCCCATCGGCGTACAACTTGCTGCCTTACAGTAACATTGAATCCTTTTCAAATCTCCTGACGGGAGGCTCATAGCTGCCATGTCCCAACAATGATCATTCCCAGGGCAGTGATATCACATTGGAACCAGCAATATCTTTTTCAGACATTATAACCATGGCAGGCAGTGCTGATTCATTGTGGGGTATGGTGTTGATGCACGATGCCTGCCGAAGCGAACAAACTTCACTAAAGCTTTAATGATGAAGGCGGTTCTTGCTACCGTTTCGTTATCATCATCCAATCATACATGTGATCTCTCATCATGCTGCTAGACCCGCTAAATCTCCTTGTGCACACCGAGAATAACTCTACCCCCCGATTCAAGTTCCTTTCGTGGAACGACTAGCAGTCACCATTACCGTGCAGTGCCGTCTGTTTTAACAATAGCATTGACGATTTTCCACTTGTAAATCCGTCGAGGAAATGATTGAGCAGAAGCTTGTTCTCGTCAAGCACCTTACAACTGACTTCACTCTATGTCCTTTATTTATCTATATCATAAAATCTAGGCGACGATCATGATTACAGCATCCGACTATATGATGGCATCGGCGATTGATGGTGCGGTTCGGTGAGTAAACCGTATAAAATGCGCAGCACCAAGCAAACGCTGGACACAAGCATGTGCTTCTGTATTGAAAGCCCTACAATAAAAAGAGGATCGATTCCTTTCTGTTCCTGTCAGTTATGTCTTCATCGTTGGCTCCCCTGCTAGGGGGCAACATTACTCCCGTGGTGAGACTGCAAAAGATCTCATAACTGTTGTTCAGCTGATTCCACCTTTCTATTCAACAGATGATTTGTCTGGCAGTTTTTTCTCGCATTGTCAGCAGCGCTGTCGCTCCGATAGCCATACCATCTCCGTGGAGAGTGCGTTATTTAGCCTACCTCATGTAAGATTAATGGTTCTCAGGCATACATCAGAAGCCAACAATCAGTCTTACAATGGAAGAGCGCATTGACACTGCAACTAAAGCTCTGGACAAAGCTGTAACTATTGCAGGTAAGCATTCTGAACCGATGGCATTGAACAAGCATTCATTCAGCATTCCAGAGGATGACAAGGCTGATTTATACATTCTTCTAATCGAGTTTGACATAGCCGTCAACCAAACAAGATACAAAGACAAAGTGTCTCATTACTTCGCAAATGTATCCCCTTCCAAGTACGTACCTATCTTGTTGACGATTTCATGTGACCGACGTATTACCTGGTATGTAGGGTCGGTTCCGAAGTTCTCCTGAACGTGTCTATTAAAAGTCAATATATAATCACTAGAAATCCGATGGAGCGTATGTTACTTCCGCAGCTTGACCTTTCAAAGGTTGGATCCTGTATATGGCTATGCCGCTGCTCTAGCACACGTCGCTTACAAGCCTGAAGATCAAATATTCCTCGACATTGCCACGAAAATTTGGAGCTCCAACAATGACCGTGTCTTGTTGAGTTCTGGTTTCCCTAATGGGATATTCCAGAACACGAGCAACACGAAAGTTGAACTTATGGTCGATACATTGGATAAGCATAGGAAATGTAAAAAATGTGAGAACAGGCTCTCTGGAGGTTATAGTTTTCAGTTTACGAATTTGGGGATGCCTTAGACGTGGATCTAACCGGTGGTCTAATCGTAAGTGATTAAGTCTATCTTTGGACGTTATGCGTATAAATCCCAATTGTCTAGCATGACCCTACACTCGGAGAGGTGGTGACATCTGAAAACGCGTGAGGATCTCGCTGTAGAAGCCCGAGTGGATGAACTCATGTCAAGTGTCTTTAACAGTCGGTTTTTCAGGTGATTTTGCAAGTTGATATGCATCAGCATTAACTCACGTCAGTTCCAGGCTTTCAGGGATCCTTGCTGAAATAACCGGAGGTAGAAAATACCCAGATGCTGCTCGACAATCCGCGAAACTGTTCCTTTCGCGACTATATACAGACGACTCGCTTTTTTGGTGGTCAGTCAAGTTGGACACGAAGAATCCATGCAAGGCACCAATTAATAAGAGAAAAGAGCCTTGGAATACGGGGTATGCAATTGAAAGTCTGGCTATTCTATCATCAATCAGTTGGAACAATGCCACCGTCAAAAAGCAAGTTTCACGAAGCAGTTATAACTTGTTGCTTAGCTTTTGTCCCATAGGTTGACATGCAGCATCGTCGCCTCTTCGAATTACCCGGACTGGCATGACCGTTCAGGACAAGGAGTTTTGGTGTTGAAAGAAAGTGCGATCCTTCTACTCTTTTTTTCACAAAGGTGTTCAATGATGTTGCAGAACAATTTGCGGGAGGTGATCTTGTCAGAGGCCTCGCAACAATTCTGGCACGGAAAGAGTCTTTCGATTCGCGTTTGTCAACTTATGTGGAAGCTTATCTGGCAGTTCAGGTAGTGCCTTATCATTGCTTCTCCATCAATCTCTTACTAACTCCATGATTGCTAGTACAATGCACTACTCGACCTAGCCACTGTCAACGGAACCAATGTATACGGGAACTCGTGGATAGGTCCACCTAACATGACCTACTCCGCTGATGTTCAATTTGCAGCGGCTAGAGTTCTCATTGCTAGCATCAACATTAATCCTCAGCTAGACTCCCAAAGTCCTCCAGAAGGTCCTCCAGCAGGATCGTCAGGGAGAGAAACAAATCATATAGGAGGAATAATTGGGGGCGTGCTTGGTGGATTGTCCCTCATCGCACTAGTTATTGTTGGATCGCTATTTATTATTCGCCGGCGTCATCAAGACTCCACCGACACTCGGGTCTTCCCCGAGAACTCCCTCATTCCGATACCCTATGTGCTACAATCGGAAAAGCGTCGAAGGAAACGGCATATGGAAGGGATTCTTCCTCAAGCGGAACCTCCGACTGAGGCGCCGCCGCCTGCATACTCGAGTCGAAGCTACATATCTCCCTTGGGCGGATAGATGTATGCTTTTCTTACGTTAGTGATGCGGTATAACAATAGTACATGCCTCACATACCACCCATAGCTTTCTGATGTTGGGCGCAATGGAGCGTCTGCGGCTGCACGATATATACATATATGACTGATGGGAGATGTGTAACTTTTTCAAATGTATCTTGCTATTTCGGGTTACCTTCTCCAAACTTGGGTCGTTAAATGGGTTTTCATCACGACCCGTCGTAACTACACTGCCCGATCCCATCGTGTCAGCCTCTACACTTCCGAATGTCTTGTATAGCTCCTTGTCCTCATCATGGAGCCTAACCGTGGCCCGTGGGATAGGGAATCTGCTTTGATTTCTCGATGAAGTCATTCCGAGTCCCTTCAAAGTCGATCAAGACACCGGAACGATCAGTAGGTGCGAGGAGTTCGGGTGTATGTATATCACCCTCGGACTAGGGATCATTTTTCCATACTCGTGTGTAGGCCCCTCGTGTAGCCCGAGACGTTGTGATATGATGAGGATAAAGAATCCAGCACGAATCTCGTGTCTGTGATATAGATGCTAAGTTTGGATCACAACGTGGTACTCGCGTCGAAACGCTGAATCGGTATTCCATCAGCTCCCTGGTAGTCTACCGGTTCTCGGTGAGATGACTTCCTTAGTTGTGAGTCTGTTCTTCGTATCCTTTCTCCTTCTCAATCTAATCGACAAAGCCTTGCCTATAGCTTCTACGTACCTTGATGGATTTGTCGAAAAACCAGCTACGTCACCCTGGAATATACTCACCCGCTTCATATCCACCATTGTTGTGCGAGTATAGCCCTCGTACGACTTGTTCAGGATCACCTCCAAAGGCCTACCTGTGGTGTATAAGTCGATTCCCATCACGACTGTGTCAACGAAATCACACAACAAGTTTTCTATCACGCAGTAAGCATCCTCCCTGGTATACCGGTTAGTACACGCGAATGTCATCTAGTATGCTCGCGCAAAAGGCTGGGTTCGACTCCCAGCCAAGGAGATTTGCCTCTAGAATTTCGTTCACTTTTTCTGAATCGGGTGGGAGTGATGTATACAACTTCCTTCCCTAAGACGAAGTAGTGATTCTATATGCACCCATCTTCTTCCTTCAAACCATTCAAGGCCCTCCCGTCTTGTATAGGTACGTAAGCCTTACGCTGGGGATGGACAGAGCGCGGGATGTGACGCTAGGCGTAGGCGTATATCCTCCCAGCTCGACCACTTAATGATCTGGGATGTGCTTCGTTAGCAGGCGCTAGGGATCATCTTTCCATACTCGTATAACCCAGAAACGTGGTGATAAAGAATCCAGCGAGGTGCCTGATGTGATATAGATGCCGAGTTTAGTCAAATTGTGATTATCACAGGTTAAATGAGTATTTGAGTGGCAATATACGATAATGACCAGGTCCCTGGTGGTATAGTGGTTATGTCACACTCGTCAGAGTCTGTGTCTCCGGGTTCAGACCCCAGGCACGGAGATATCCATCTTAGTTGACTTCATTTTCTTCTTTATCTCTCAATCTAATCAATGAAGCTTCTAAGAACCTTGATGCACCTGTTATAACACCAATACTCGCCATTCCATCTCTACCACTATCTCGTACGAAAGTGTTACCGTCACAGTATGCTCATATCCCTGGTAGTGCATTGGTTAACACACGCGTTATTCCTTGGATTCACGCAAGCTGGGTTCGAATCCCATCCAAGGATATCTTCTATTGTCGACGTTTGTTCAATTTTTCCTCACTCTCCTCATCTAACCACTTCCATCAGATCCTCTGACATAACAAGAACGATGATTTCTTACCGAGGTAGATAGAAATTTTTAGTTTCCTGAAAAAAGGGTACCGTGTGATACTAACTCGTCACATTGGATTGGAATAACACGAGAAATGTCAAGTGTAGGAGGATAAAGGTCCGAGAGCATCAGGCCCAGAGTTCTTTGCACGCTCGTATACCCAGGAATGTTGGAATACGAGACGGTAGTTAACTCGATATCTAGGAACATTAGTACATCAGAGACACGGAGCATCACAGGATCACTATATCCCTGGTAGTATATCGGCTAGTACACGCGCCTGTCATACACATGCACATTTGTTTGACCCGCGCGAAAGCTGGGTTCGACTCCCAGCCAGGGAGCTGGGCGGATGTAGCGATGTCAATCTCTTTTATTATCTATTCTATCTTTCTTGGTACCAAATCTTTTCTATAGGGATTCATATATATATATACAACGCCTCGATTCACGATTCACACAACGCCCCGCCCCTCCCATCGTTCCCCGTCTCCTTTGTCACTCCTTCACATCGAAACATCACCCAAGATTCTCTCGTCGTAGACCAGGACCTTCGCTTCGGCTTGGGAGTGAACAGGGTTTGGGGTGTATGGCGGCTGAACCTGCGGGTGTAGGTTGAAATGGGTATGGGAAAGCGGCGAGGAGAAGGGAAATAGTATTGAGGACAGGAACGTCGGAAGATGGGTAACACGGTGCCTCAAAAAACACTCCTCGGGCTGCCATTTTCGACGGAAACCATACCCCCTCCGGAGCGTGGAACTGGGGTTATCTTTGAAACAGGAGGCGGCCTAATAACAAAGCTTTCGCATCTTCTTGTCGAGCGTGATCTGTCTATGGGTCGTATATCGATGGAAAAGCGGTGGTATAGTGTCTTCGAATGTGTTTCGTTGGCCTGCGTGTCGTTGATGTATCTGGGTGTGTGCTTTGTTAGCCGGCGTCGCAGGAAGGGAAGGGGGATGGGGAGGACGTAACATATAGAGCGATATCCCTCACATAGACACCGCCAAAAATCTCCTCCATCTCCTGCTCCTCCATCTACTATCTCCCTTTCCTCTCTTTCTCGACGATTTCAACTCATCTACAACCGCCCCGGAGGTGGTGTATGACGTGGACCCTGCTCATTGCGAGCGATTATGCGCAAGTTGGGTACAGGCCTAGGGCTTGGATTGGTGCGAAGGAACCTGAACGACGGACGCGGAGTTAATGGGGTATGGAAGGAACGGTCAGGGAGGATAAGAAAAGGTGACGTACCTACGCCAAAAGCGCCTCCATGAAGTACGATAAGCGTCGTGTGTGGGTATCCCGCTATCGATGAAAGACATGGCGCTGTCATTGGGGAGGATGTAAGCGTTGGTTGGCTTGAGATTGGGGTTATACGTACCTATCGTCGTCCGTTATGGTTACTGTCCCCATTTTGCATGACAGGAAGGCGAGAGTCGTTCAGCAGTGGTGGTGGTTGTGATGAAAGGTGTCAAGCTTTACGTCAATGGAAGCAACCCGGAGAACAAAATTAGACGCCATTATCACCTCCCTGGCTGGGAGTCGAACCCAGCTTTCGCGCGTACGCTGTCATAGAAGTGTGGTGACAGGCGCGTGTACTAACCGATATACTACCAGGGAGCTACTGGCACTGCGTTTCACGTACTCCAATGCTGTGCAGTTCTGTGCTTTCTCTACCCGAAAAACGACGCAATTTGAATAAAGTGGAATATTTCATGGATCAAATCTTCTACTGCCTGAAGACACCGTTTGTGGACATACTCCCTGGTAGTATATCGGCTATTACACGCTGTGCCATGTGTACGGTGTCTGTAAGAACCTGCGCGCGAAAGCTGGGTTCAAGGGAGATGTGGTGGATTCGGGGACGTAATTAATGTTTTTGGTTTGTGTAATCGTATACTGCTTGTACCCGTACACCTGTACTCTTCTCGATGAGATGGCGAGTCACGTCAAGGCACGCTGTACCAGTGTGTTCCGACGATTCCTTCTCCAGCCTCGATGTATCATGACATCCATCTTGTACACTTCCTCAATACTCTCACTGAACCCTTAATCGTTCTACATCACCAAAAAGATCCAGCATTCTCATACGTTATCATTCGATGATGCTATTCTTGGTTTCCTCTCCCAAAACCAAGCTCAAAACTTCGCTGATATATATAACGCAGGTGCCACCCAATCGAACATTCCCTGGTAGTATACCGGCTAATACACTCAGCGTAATGTTTGTTGGTTAGGATCTTGCCAAATCCGCGCGTAAACTGGGTTCGACAACCAGCCAGGGAATTCATCTTGGCCTTCCTTTTAGTGTCTACTGCAAACGCCTGACTGTGATACGAAGCTCTTCCTATGCCGACATATATGATACCCTGGATCCAACAACACGCCTAGGCCTCACAATCTGAAGTACTCTTCTCGGTCACATTAAGGCACTCTGTATGTAGGCGTAATGATACACGTGTCGATACGACTTTCACAGCTTCCTCGTCAATCACAAATCCAATGGAAGTCATTCTCTGGCGTCATACCTCACCCATGAACCAATGAAGTAACAGCTATCAAGTAACTTCCACAGCGAAGCGTGATGTCCTCGGTCACTTGACGATATGGGAACTTCCAAATTCCGAGTTCCGGTTTTACCTATCTGTGAGCATCACATTAAACAAAAACTCGCTTGAACGTGCTAATCCTGTTAAAATACATGAAAGGGACACACTATCTCGCTGGTTGGGACTGGAACCCAGCTTTACGCGCAGCAAAGATCCATATGGCGCTGCGTGTATTAACCAGTATATGACCAGGGATCTTCACCCAGAGTAACGGTACAAGCTCTGATACGAGGTGCAGTGATAACTAAGGGCACAATTCCAGTAAGTACTTTCCATTTACGGTGTTGGGTAGCGAATTTTGTGGTTTTTCTAAATCTAGTGGAATATTCATCGAGGAAGTAATAAAAACGATCTGGAAGCATTGCATCTCCTTGGCTGGGAATCAAACCCAAGCTTTCGCTAGCGCAGCGATTGAGAGTCCGAACGGTTCGGCGTGTAAGAACCAATAGACGACAAGGGAGCTGGTTGTTATGGGATGATATGGTCCCTGAGGCGCCGCGGATGGTTCTAGCTCAAATGTGATGGGTTGTATAATGACATTATATATCTAGACCGCTATACGACCAGGAAGTTGATAGCAAGCAATAATACGAAGTCTGATATATGGTAGGGTGTTAGCTAGGATGTCCGATTCTTGACTCCAGCTCAAAGTGGTAAACTGAGTATCAAAGTTTCTCATGCCGAGTTGAGCCTGTCACCTGCAGGATCAAAAGCACGTCTAGGCGTTGTACAATTCATCCCGTGTGATTGTGGTATGTCTGCCGCCAATAGGTTTTTTATGTCAGCTCTCCCAACTCAGCGGTCATAAATGGATCGAAGCGACTCCGGGAATAAAAGAAAAAAAAAAAACAAAGTTGGAGATACAATTATCTCCCTGGCTGGGAGTCGAACCCAACTTTCGCGCAGAACAATGTTGCGCAAGTTCAAATGGAGCCGCGCGTAATAACCGATATACGACCAGGGAGTTGACGGGCTAGAGAGGATACGGCGTCCTTTACAGAATTGTTAGTCGGATCCAAGTTTGAGAAGGGATGTTATTTGCTTCAGAACTTGTCGTATTGAGCAATGCTTTGAAGCGACATTCAAACCAACTCCAGCGTCATACGAGGCATCTTGGCACGTCCGTGTCTATACCAAAGCTTGTGGATTCCAAGATAAAAAAGGTTAGGACCGTATATGCAAATAGATTCTCTAAATACCGTTGAAATTACAGAGGGAAAAAAGATTCAGGCACTTTGAGCAATCTGGGGGTGCTATTGTTTAGGACAGCCGTTCACATTGCAGCTTCGTACTCCGGCGGAAATTCCAACACGCTGCTCATCCTGTCATCATCTAGGCGGGACGGCACACCAACTTGGGGCCTCCATCCACTATCATTATGAACTATGATTCGTCGTCCCCGTTCTGTGGGATACTCGCCCAGTGAAGCTGCTGCTAGTAACGTGTCTTCAGCAGCGTAAGTCGTTTCCGCTGTCCGGTTGATTTGTCACGGCGTTTCAAGTGAGAGCTCCGAGTCATCGTCTACGGATTGCGGAAGTGCTTTTCGAGGAATCTTTGGTGTTTCCGTTGATTGAATGTACGGAGCAGCGATGATACGCATTTGTTTTCGAGTCTGGTGACAGACAAAGAAAACAATACACAATGCGACAACGCCTCCTATTGCCGAGCCCACTACTGGACCCATATTCGGAGAGGACCTTTCCTTACTGGGTGTGCTGGAGATTGTAAATTCTGGTGGACGAAGAGGAGAATCTGCTTGGCTGGTACTAGCAGTATACTCTGTTGGGTGAAAAGAAGTTGTTGTGGTCATGGAGGTTGATAGCATGTCCAGAACCCTGATCACGCTGGAGTTTCCAACAGAGTAGAGGTTGGTTGACCTAACGTTGGGAATGATTAGTTGACGAAGGGCGTTTGAAGCTATCCTCACCCAATATAAGCGCGTAGAACGAAATTCCTTGGTCCGGAGTGCATATTAGCCAACAGCCTGCGGAAGTATGTTCAACTGTCAGCACCTCGGCGTAGAAAGAGGCGAAGTGGTCAGTGTCCCATAAATTCTGAACTGTCCCGTCCATGATCCCCGTTACTCCTAGAGTCCACCCTCTTGCTAAGTAAACTTGGGATCTCAAAATCCGTTGTGACCGAGCACGAATATTGTTGCTCGGTGTCACTTAATGACTGCTCGACCGGGAAACTACCAGGATCTTTGGATACAGGGAGACTGAGGATATTCCATCTGACAGGTAGCATGGAGTCTTGTTCGCCGTAGAACAGTTTTTGGCTAAGTCCCCGTGAGTATTGAACTACTCTTGTAGGCAGCGCCACTATGGAGATCGCTGCTAATGAATGAGTCTAGTAGGCCGCAGGTGAGATGTGCGAGTTGGTGCCTTTTAAGCCGTTTCATTAGCCAGTTTCAAGCCCATCACTTGCTCCACAAGATAACCTTCGAGTTATAGTCTTCACCTCGTACACCGACTCTGAGGTAACAGCCTTGATGGAAAGCGTTGGAGAGATTGATGATGGTCTCTGTTGAGTTAGTCGACATATAAGTGGGAGTATAGCAGTCACGGGAAGGTCTATTGGGAAGCTCGACAATGTCGATGTTCTCGCATCCAGACAGTCTGCGTCTTTTTGAGACGGTGACATGTCTTCCACTTGAATGATGTCCGAGTCATTCTCTACGGTGCGCCCATACGCGCTTTACGGACCTTCTCTTATCAACTGAACGGTTATTAGGTTTAATGCTATAATATCTATCCAGCTCAAATGTTGAACGGCTAAGAACGTATTGCTCGCCTCAGAGAGACTGCGTTTACTCACACAAGGCTGCTGTAACGATAATGCGGCCTGTCAATTTGCTTGCGAGAGACCATCAGAGGATGAGATGACGCGGGAGCGGCCACCTCACTTTGTCTCCCGTGCCCATCTCGCCACTCATCTCATCTCGTTCTTTCATCACTTATGTGCTTGTCCAAGTTGTTGACTTATAGCCTCGTACCTGAAAGTCTAGCTCCTCGGCTGTATCTACATTCTAACAATAGCATTGACGATTTTTCACTTGTACATCCATTGAAGAAATCATTGAGCAGAAGCTTGTTTTCCGACCAATGACTGACTTAGTTGAACAACCACATTTATGTGCTCATATGCACTCATATCTGCCCTCGCAGGAGTGGTCTTTTCTATGTCCAGTATCTATATCATACAACCTAGGTGACGATCATGATCACATGATCCTATATGATGTGATGGTATCGGCGGTTGAGGGTGTAGCTTGGTGGGTACACCTAATAAAATGCGCAGCTCTTTCGGGTTACCATCTGTTTCTGTATTGAAGCTCCTACAATAAAACGAGGATCAATTCCCTTCTGTTCCCTCAAGTATGTCTTCATCCCTGGCTCCTCAGCTACGGGGTAATATTATCTCAGTGGTGAGACTGCAAAGGATCCCATAACCGTTGTTCGGCTGATTCCACCCTTCTATTCAACAGATGATTTGTCTGGCAGTTCTTTGGCGCGTTGTCAACAGCGCTGTTACTCCGATAGCCATACCGCCATCGTGGAGAGTGCGTTATTCAGACTACCTCATAGAAGTTTAACGGTTTCTAAGCATGCATCAGAAGCCAACAATCAATCTTACAATGGAAGAGCGCATTGACTTTGCAGCTGAGGCTCTGGACAAAGCATACACTGAACCCATTCCGAGTAAGCAGTCTGATCCAATGGAGTTGAACAAGCATTCATTCGGCATTCCAGAGGATCACGACGTTGATTTACACACTCTTCTAATCGAGTTTGACATAGCCGTTAACCAAACAAGATACAAAGACAAGGTGTCTCATTACTTCGCAAATGTGCCCTCTTCCAAGTACGTAGGTATCTTGTTGACAATTTCATTTGACCGACATATTGCCTGTATCCAGGGTCAGTCACGACATTCCCCTGAATGTGTATATTAACAGTCAATATATAATCACTAGAAATCCAATGGAGTGTATGCTGCACACCTTGACCTTCAAGATGCATGGCTGACCCTTCGAAGTTTAGACCCTTTCTATGGCTATGCTGCTGCCCTAGCACACGTCGCGTACAAGCCTGAGGATCGAATATTTCTCGACATTGCCACTGAAATTTGGGACTCCAATAATAACCGTGTTTTATCGAGATCTGGTCTCCCTTTTGTAGTCTTCCAGAACACGAGCAACGCGAGGGTTAAACTTATCGGAGATACATTGGTCGAGCATAAGAAATGCCAAAACTGTGAGAACCTGTCTAGGATATAGATTTTAGCTCACAAATTTGAGTGGCTGTAGCCGTGGATCTAAGCGGTGGTCTGATCGTAAGTCACTAAGTTCATCTCTGGATTTTATGCGTATAAATTCCATTTTTCTAGCATGATCCTACCCTCGGAAACATGGTGACATCTGAAAATGCGTAAGGACCTCCCCGTAAAAGACCAACTGGATAAGCTCATCTCAAGTTTGCATGCTGTGTTTTCAATAGCCGCTTTTTCAGGTGCTTTTGCATGCAAGTCAATATCGTTAGCACAAACTCACACTACTTACAGGCTTTCCGGGGTCCTCGCCGAAATAACTGGAGATACCCAGTACCTGAATGCTGCTCAGCAATCTGCAAAACTTTTCCTTTCCCGATTATATACAAACGACTCGCTTTTTTGGTGGGCAGTCAAGGTGGACACGAATAATCCATGCGAGACACTAGTCGAAGAGAGAAAGGAACCTTGGAATGCGGGGTATGCAATTGAAAGCCTTGCTATTCTATCATCAATCAGGTTGAATGAGACCACCGTTGAGAGGCAAGTCTCATACAGCAGCTATGATTTGTTGCTTAGCGTTTGTCCGAAAGATTGACAGGCAGCATCGTCGCCTCTTCAAATCATCCAGAATGGCATGATCCTTCCGGACAAGGGATTATGATGTTGAACAATAGTGCGATCCTTCTACTCTTTTTCTGACAATGGTGATTAATGATGTTGCAGAACAGGATTCTGCAGCTGCCCTTGTTAGAGGCCTCGCGACAGTTCTGGCACGGAAGGAGTCCTTCAATTCGAGTTTATCGACTTACGTGGAGGCTTATCTGGCAGTTCAGGTAGCATCTTTCCATTGTCATTGTTCGTCATTATCTTAGCCAGTTATGGTTGCTAGTACAGTGCACTACTCGATCTAGCCACCGTCACCGGAACCAATATGTATGGGAACTCGTGGATCGGCCCGCCTAATATGACCTACTCTGCTACTGATCAATTTTCAGCAGCTAGAGTTCTCATTGCAGGCATCAACATTAATTCCCAGCTAGAGTCCCAAAGTCCTCCGGAACCTTCTGCAGCAGGGACGTCAGCCACAGGAGGAATAGTTGGGGGCGTGGTCGGTGGATTGTCTCTCATCGCACTAGTTGTTCTTGGATCACTATTTATTATTCGCCGGCGTCATCACAACTCCACCGACACTCGGGTCATCCCAGAGAACCCCCTCATTCCGATACCTTATGTGCTACAATTGGAAAAGCATCGAAGGAAACGGCGTATAGATGGGAGTATTTCCCAAGGGGAACCTCCGGCTGAGGCGCCACCGCCTGCATACTCGGAATGAAGCCACGAATTTTGCTTGGGCAGATACAGTAGAGGTATGCTTTTCTTACCTCAGCGATGCGGTATAACACTAGTACATCCCTCATACCACCTATGGCTTTCTGATGTTGGGCGCCAGTCGAGCGTCTGCGGCTGCAATATAGATACAGTCGCGGCAAAAAGAATTGCAATGCCTTTTCGGGTATATCAGTCCCATAGCCCCAAAATTTGCCAAAAAAGGCTCGACGTACGTTACAGGCTCAGCACAGACTGTGAGGGAGCTCATGCCTTCTCCTTCATTTTTTGAGTGAAATTTGATGGGATGAATCCTACGAAGCTGTGATAGAAAGGAGAGCAAGAACTATGATGATTTCACGAAGTTCTTTGGCCTACAACATGTTTCCAGTGCAGACCAATACTGGTGTGCTCCATCTCCACCAGTATATCCCTCATACAACTTCTTAATGATCACCGTCCAAAATAACTTGACTACCGTCGCCGTCATTCACGATGCTTATTACCAATGTCATCACATCCCACACGCAAATGATTATAGCCCACACTAACTTTCTCCAAGCTTAGGTTGTTGCATGAACGTTTTTTATTACAATTCCCCAGGCATTATACATGAATTAGCTTGATCCGTGACCTTCACGGAGAACATTACTATGATTTCACCTGCGGCTTGATGATTACTACCCCTCGGAAAACAGATACATATCAGAATCCTCGTCTAGACACGTGTGGTATACAAGCTAATACACGCGCTTGACATTCCTTGCCAGTGGATTTGCGGAATCTGGGTTCGCCTCCCGGCCAAGGGACAATATTTCCTTTTCTCGACTTTTCCTCACTTCCCACTCCCGTCATTTGATATTTCGCTAATCTATAGCAACGACGATGATTCCTTAATCTCCTGATGTTCATCTGATAAGGAACTTTCAGCTTCTTGAAAAAGAGTACAGGATCGGGATTATAGGAGAGGTGTCAAGTGTAGGGAGATCGGCCCGGGCGATGTTTGTGAAGCTCGGAAAGAGTCATCCGAGTCAGGCCCAGGTTTCATCATGATTCTTTGCATGCTCGCATACCCAGGATCGTTGGGATATGACGAGGACTCGAAAGCGGCACGGTAGCACTAGTTAACAATCGTGATTGTAGCCGTCGCTGCTCGCAACTACACTGTCCGCTCCTATCGCGCCAGACTCTACACTTCCGAATCTCTTGTACAGCTTCTTGTCCTCGCAAGGACGAGAGAAACCGCCATCTGGTTTGATTCCTTCAAGTTGATGAATTCAATCAACTTATAAGTATTGATCAGCGAACAACCCAAATACTGGTGGAAGAAACTTTCCTAGTTCTAGGTCTAGAAGAGTATAGCATATACAGCACAGTTACAACACACACGGGTGTACCGGTTAGCACGCATTTCCGGCAATAGCCGCGCAAGAGGCTGGGTTCGACTCCCAGCCAGGTAGGCTGATCGTAGCCGAATGGTTTTTTCCTCTCTTGCGCTATGTCTCGATAACGACTTTCCTCCTTTTTGGTATCATGAAACCTCCACAGATAGGCATACGACTCCGATTTCGCTTGATTACTACCCCTCAGGGAACGTCCGATAGCTCCTAGTAGTATATGAGTCGATAACCGCACTTGATCTACTAGTACTTCCAAATGGTCTCTGTCGATTAGAATTTTATGAACTAGCGGCGCGAAGAACATACCTACTTAAAGCATAAGGTATCCTAATCGAGACAAAACGCCGATCTTTTTTGCACGGTGTGAATGAATCTGAATCACAAACCTACTAAGAGTTGTTGAAACACCGGCCTCCCTGGTGGTGTATCGGGCAGAACGCGCGGGTTCAACTCCCAGCTAGCGAGGATATCAAGATATCTTGGTGATTTCTTATTTTTATTCTCTTAGGATCAAGGTCTGGCGAGATGACGGAATTCTTGAGGACAGGAAAGCATGTACCCCGTCGATTCTCCTCATAGACACGTTGGCATCCGCACGATTGGGGTTGTCCGTTATGTAGCAATGTGAGTGCAGTACAGCATATAACTCCCTGGTAGTATATCGGTTAGTACACGCGCCTGTCATGAAGTCGACTTCAATCGCTTGACCCGCGCGAAAGCTGGGTTCGACTCCCAGCCAGGGAGATAGTGATTTCCAACTTTTGTTTCTGTGTTTCATAAAATTCTTGCTATTCCTACGGTAGTAAGAACCCAAAGCCGTCCTAGAGATTCTAGATGAAACGCCGATGCAATATTATTATACCACCAACGTCCCGCCTGATCGATCTTTACAATCTCTACTTTCATCCCCTCGTTCCCTGTTCCCTTCTCACGTCCTCCCGTATAGCTCCTTCACATCGAAACATACCCAAGATTCTTTCGTCGTGGACCGATCGGTACCTTCGCTTCGGCTTGGGAGTGAACAGGGCGTTGGAGGTGCATTCCCAAAGCCTGGGTTGAACGTTGAACCTGTAGGCGTAGGCGTGTGTTTAGCCGGGTATCGGAAAGCGGTGGGAAGGAGGTAGTGGGGGTAATAGGGAAGTTCAGATGCTAACCTGGTAGGATCCCGATACCTCATCCTATGCTCCACAAAACACTTCCCTGGCTCCAGGTTTTGACGGAGACCATACCCCTCCGACTCAGTAGTAGGGAGCGTGGAGATGGGGTTATGTGTGAAACAGGAGGCGGCCTAATAACAAAGCTTTTGCATCTTCTCGTCGAGCGTGATCTGTCCATGGGTCGTGTATCGATGGAATGTCGGTGAGAGATGGTATAGTGGTCCTTCGTATACGTTTCGTTAGCCTGCGTGTCGTTGATGTCGATGTATCTGGGTGTGTGTGTCGTCAGCCGACGTCGAGTGCAGGGGGTAAGGGGAAGGAGGACGTACCGTATGGCATGATATACAAATACACCCCAATACACCCCCTGCTCCTCAATCGACCATCATCCTTCTTTTCCTCTCATTATACCCCCCTTCTCGACGACTTCAACTCAACTACAAACGCCTGGAGCTTGGATGTGGAGTATGACGTGGACCTGGCTCATCGAGAGCGATTATACTGAGGTTGTGTACAGGCCTAGGGCTTGGATTGGTGCGAAGGAGCCCGAGCGACGGACGTGGAGTTAATGGGGTATGGAAGGAACAATCAGGGAGGATAAGAAAAGGTGACCTACCCACGCCAAAAGCGCCTCCATGGAGGACGATAAGCGTCGTGTGTGTGTATACCGCTATCGATGAAAGAGATGTAAGTGTCGGTTGGCTTGAGATTGGGGCTCCACGTACCTATCGTCGGCCGTTTGGGTTACTGTCCCCATTTCGCATGGCAGGAAGGCACATAAGAGGGAGAAAAACAGAGTTGTTCAGCTGTGGTGGTGGTTGTGATGAAAGGTGGAGCTTTACGTCAATAGAAGCGACCCGGAGAACAAAATTAGACGCCATTATCACCTCCCTGGCTGGGAGTCGAACCCAGCTTTCGCGCGTACGCTGTCATAGAAGTGTGGTGACAGGCGCGTGTACTAGCCGATATACTACCAGGGAGTTGCGATCAGAGTTTACGGTGTATCGATGTCCACTTCTTTTTCCTCTACCTCAAAACGTGAGGAAGCACAATTCTAGCCATATGTCATGCATGAATTAAATCTTATACAGCTATTTACCTCCGCCTGAAGACACCCTTCTGGACATCGAGATCAAGGCAGATAACGATACCATGCACTCCCTGGTAGTATATTGGACATTAGACGCTGCGCCATACATTCGTGGTTCCAACTAGCATCTGCGCGCGTAAGCTGGGTTTGATTCCCAGTCAAAGACTTGATAATACTGAGCTTTTCGTTTTTTTGGTTTCTATAACCGTATACTGCAAACAGCTATGCAGAAATAGCATTCCCATTCCAGAGACCTGTACATAAACCACCCTGAATGTACTTTTCCCGGAAAGTCACGTCAAGGCACGCTGCACCCTGTTACCTTCCTTCTCCCTCGACGCATCATGACCACCAATTTCACTCTTCCTCCACGCCAAATACTCTCATATTGACACCCTTATTGTTGTCCCAACTTGTTTCCTCTCCCCGAAAAGTAGAAAACACTGTCAGCGCAAGTCCACAATTTCCGAGCATCAAGATTAAAAAAGCTGGGGATCTTGCGAGTCCCTGGTAGTATATCGGCTAATACACGTTGCGTGTCCATATTTGAGTTTCTATGTAGTCCGGACGTAAGCTGGGTTCGACTCCCAGCCAGGGAGGTTCCACTGTTTGTCTTTTTCGATTCTATCCTGATTCCTCTTCTACCCGTTCTACAAAACTCGGAGTACAATCAACGTTGCATGCTTTTCAACATATGTACCTACGCCTAGGCCCTGAAGAACACAACGCAATAGGTGCTCTTCTCGATCACACTAAGGCACACCGGACGCGTAGAAGAACTGTCATGGCCTCCGAATCAAGCCGAACGGGTCGGACATCGCAGAAAAAAAAGGGTGATTGTAGTCGTGGTTATGCAAATGCACTCAACGAAATAGCGGCCATCGCCTAATTTCTAGTGCGAACCGTGATGTCCACGGAACCATGATCTTCCACCGTAAGGTGAACTTTCAGATTCCGAGGAGAGTTCCAGCCACCTGTGAGAGTCACACCAACAAATTATTAAAATGTGGAGAGCTTGGAATAACTCCCTGGCTGGGAGTCGAACCCAGCTTTCGCGCGAATTACGTGCATCAGCGCTTTTTTGATGACAGGCGCGTGTACTAACCGATATACTACCAGGGAGCTATAACCCCTCAGTTCATTGTACTCCTATGGATTGCCGTCGTTTACTTTCTCTACCCGACAAACGAGTCGATTTCGATGAAAGCACCATTCGAGGCGTATTTGAATTTCATCCATCAAATCTTCTGCAGCACGTTATCTACGCCTGAGGACATCGAGATCAAAGCGGATAAAGACAAAGTGCGCTCCCTGGTAGTATATTGGATATTACACGCTGCGCCATATGTCTGTTCTCCCCAATGACCTGCGCGCGAAAGCTGGGTTCGATTCCCAGCCAGGGTGGTAGATGTGAGGGGCAATGCTTTTAGTTTCCGTAATCGTATACTGTACACAAAGCAAGCTGAATGTACTCTTGTCGACCAGATGGGAAATCACGTCAACTTGAAGGCATGCTCTAGCCATACTTATGTTCTGATGATGCTGCACCTTTCCTCTCTGACTTCGATCTTACATTCACACTTCCTCCACCTCAACACTCTCACTGAACCCTTGATCGTTCTTTCATCACCAACACATCCAGATCCAGAAAAAGATCAGTTACAAGCATTCTCAACATAGTTTGATGCTACTCTCCTCTCCCCAAAAGTCGTTATATAAAACGCATGTGCCACCCACTTGTACATTCCCTGGTAGTATATCGGCTAATACACGCAGCATCATATATATAGGTCGAAATCCTGCCAAATCCGCGCGTAAACTGGGTTCGACTCCCAGCCAGGGGAATTCGTCCTGACCCTCTTTTTTAGTGTCTAGACTGTGATACGCAGCCGTGCACGAAGCTCTTCCTATGCCGACATATATGATATCCTCGATCCAGCAACACGCCTGGGCCCCATAATCTGGATGTGAGTACACTTCTCGGTCACCTTAAGGCCCGACACACGCGTTGATATTATTTTCGACAAAAACTTTCACAGCTCCCTCGAGCACAAACCCAATGGAAGTCATTCCAGTCGCTTGGCCAGGCTATTCGCGAGGTCATTCGGTCATTTCTTGGGATGTCTTTCTGGTACCCGATTCGTGATCATCGAATTGATACAAGGAACTGTTTGGCGTCATACCCCTCAAGTGAATCAAATCAGTTAAGGATCAGCCACCAAATAACCTCTATGGCGAAGCGTGATGTCCTCATTTCTGAGTTAGGAATGTACATTGATCTTTGACTGTGATTCCGAGTCCAGTTCCACTGGCTACTATCTGTGAGCATCACACGAAAAAAAAAACTCACTTGAACGTGCTACTCTTGCTAAAATACATGAAAGGCTCCCGGTATCTCCCTGGCTAGGACCCTAACACAGTTTATGGGCGCATAACCACATGGAAAATCGAGGTGGCGCTGGGTGTATTAACCGATGTATGAGCAGGGATTTTTAAACAGAGTAACGGTACAAGTTCTGATACGAGGTGCGGTGATAACTCGAACGTCGAATGAGCACTTTCCATTTACGGTATTTAGTAGTGAATTTTGTGGGTTTTTCTAAATCACAGGCAAACATTGAGCGTGTAGAAGAATATCCATCAAGGTCATAATAAAAACATTCTGCAGGTTTTACATCCCCCTGGCTGGGAATCGAACCCAAGCTTTTGCTAGCGCAGTGATTTAGAGTTCAAATGACGCGGCATGTAAGAACCGATAGACGACAAGGGAGTTAGTTGGTAGGGGACGACATGGGCCTTGACACATCCTATGAGGCGCCGTGGGATGGGTTAAGGATGAAGAAGGCATATGGTCTGGCATTACATATCTACTAGCCGAGTAACACGTGGAGTCTGTGATTCTCAGCAGAATCCGCTGAATCACAGGCGAATTTTCTCATGCCGACATCGTAAGATTGACGATTCCGTACCGCCACCAATCGTTTTTTGATGCTTAGCGTAGAGAACTTCCAAGAGCTTGATATGACAGGAACAGTTTCACCATATACTATCTAACGTGCGAGCTGGTACACTAAACAGAACTTGAACACGAGAATAGGCACGATGTTAGATCTAAAACTGTAGTCGATGAACTCCATAGAATCTCCCTGGCTGGGATTCGAACCCAGTTTACGTGAACGCGGCATTGAAACGGCTTGTGATATGGCGCAGCGTGCATTGACCGATATACAACTTGGGAGCTGGTAGCTAATGGGTGGTACGAGTGTTGAGAGTACATCTTCGGCACCATGCAGATATTGTTGGCATCGCAGAGCGACATTCGTTACTTCTTCATTCCTGATCTCGGGAAGATACTGCAAGCCTTTTTCATCAGACTTTAGCGCCGCGACTTGGAATCACTAAGCATTGCATAACTCGTGAAATATCCTCACTTAAGGAATGAAGTGAATATCATCTACGAGATATGAGGTGGCGGTTTGCAAGATGTCACCAAAAAGAGTTTGTGTGAGCCGATTACGTGGTAAAGGTAGCCTATGAGGTTAAGATCTAAAACTTCTGGATGGTGAGTCGAATCTCCCTGGCTGGGAGTCGAACCCAGCTTACGCACGCAACACACAAATTTTGGTGCATATGGCGCAGCATGTATTGACCGATATACGACCAGGGAGTTCTGATGCCGAGTGGAGCCTGGCACCTGCAGGATCAAAGGTACGTCTAGGCGTTGTACAATTCATCCCGTGTGATTAATGTATGTCTGCCGCTAATAGGTTTTTTTATGTCAGCTTGCCCAATTCAGCGGTCATGAATTGATCGAAGTATCCAAGAGTGTATTAGGACTTGATCCGAAATGATTCTTTTGCAGATCTGTGAACGGAAAGATGTAGGGCATACCTGGTACGAGGATAAACTTATTGCCGAATAAGCCAGTTATCTGACCCTGTGATTGCTTTACCCCCGCTTTTGTCCTTCCGTATCTTGGGAATTCGCGGCTTCTTAACATAGGCATGCCTCTGGAAAGGCAATCGTAACCTGCGGGGTTCTTCGCCTCTTTCGTGCGAGTGATCAATACTCTCAGTTCGCAGCCGACAAAATGAGACTTTTTGATGGGTCGATTTCATGAGCCTGCGCTGTTTTCGATGAAGGATATTGAGTATGCTGCACGGTGAGATTGACATGCATGTACCTTGGAATGAACTATGGTCCCATAGAGGTTGAAAACGTCAGGATTACGTCCCGCGAAGATATTGCTCCGCAGCACGCACTATCGTTCAATCCCCTAAGCCTGTCTATCCACATGAATAACGACATCCCCGCTATGGTATTCCAGCTCTAGAAGGTTCAGAGTTGGCTCAGAACGATATGGTTCGATGCCTTTCGTTGATAAAGCCAATAGCTATGGAGATATCTGAATTGAATGTGCTACTCACATCGTGTGGGCACTCTAAGTCCGAGCTAACCACTGTCGGTAACAGAGTCGGTAATCTGTTACAGATGCTATTCCGTCAGCCTCGTGCGATATGACACGGGTGACATAGATGTCGAGAAATGAAAGCAGAGCGGCCGTGTCACGCTCGGCTATTGCCACGCTCGGCTGTTCCCGGGGTAGGCTTCCATCACAACCACCATCGGGATTTACTAGATATTTGCTCTACCTGTTGATGTAGCTCCCGAGAAACAAAGAACACCTTCTGATTGTTTCGGTAATATCCTTCACGGTCACGGTTGGTCTGATTTTCTATCTTGTGGACTGTTACTCACGAGGGTCCCCTTTCTGTATCACAGGTCCGCAGCTTCAAACAGTCTGTGAGTCTATAACTCTACAGCTATGTGCGCCGTTTCTCACAATTCGGGCATTTCCTGTATCTATCCAGTATATCCTGCAGAGCCGTGTCGTTTTGGAACGCTGGGGGGATAACATTACTTGATAAAACATGGTTGTTGTTGGACTCCCAAGCTTCTATGGCGATTTTGAGAAACATAGAATCATTGTAAGCGACATATGCTAAAGCAGCGGTGTAACCATGAATTGGATCTAGTCTATTTTATGTGTCAGCCAGCCTAATGAAGAAGCGATAGGAAGTACATACACGCCAGAAGAGAGCTATTGTGCGTATATCAATACCGTGACGCAGTAGCAATGGGTTTCATGTAACATCGTTGAACAGAGCAACTGACCCTACATGGAATGTGTGACTGCATTCAAGATAATCATGAGGGTACGCACTCTTTATTCTGGAGAAATTTGAAGGAGTTGACTACCCTTGCTTGGTATCTTGTCTGATTTGTGGCGATGTCGAACTCCGCCAACATGATATTGAATTCAATATTATTTGGTTCATCATCTCACATACTTTGGTTTGCGAACATTTAACGTTACTGTCGAATTTGTCACATACCTGGAACGATGTTCTCATATGCTTTGTCGAGAGCGGACGCTGCGATGTCAATGCTCTGCTTCCTGGACATAGTACAGGTTGGGTCCTAATGGACAAGTCAGAACTCTATGACCTCCAAGGGTTTGGAATACAGCATACACTCCATGTTGGTGGTATTGAAAGCTGCGCAGAGCGTCATTCACGAGCAAGTGAATCACTAAGCACAACAACTATTTGACAGTCAGCCACGTTAGATGGACAATTGTGAGTTATAGTTTCGTCTCACCAAAACCACAATGCTACTCTCAGGCTGTAGCATGAAGATAGAGGATATACTTGACGATATTGATGAGGGAATAGCAGCACAATGACATTGAATCAATCCTGTAGTCTCCTTATATAGAAATTCCGGAACAGCTGTGCCAGGGCTCATGCTGGATATCTTGGGGTCATTGAGCCGTCATATCAATGGGTATAAAAGTAGCTTGGTTGCCTCCACGTGTCATGGAGAAAGGCTACGATTCGGCATACAATTCAAGGTTAGGTTGAGTAGTGCTGTACCGGAGGATTGTATCTTGATTCCATCTGATGTTCTTGATGAAAATAAGATATTACATATAAAAGGACCCGAGGGTGCTTCCCGTCCTGAAGACTTGAGGATGTTTTCGGTTTGTTTGTATGCTCATACAGCCAACGAGCCTGAGGACTACCGCGCTACAAGAAAGGAGGACTTAGGAACAGTAGTAGTAAACATTCAAATCTATCTATCAGTTATGAAATGCATCATCCTTTGATTGTTATCGAAGCCTGCATGATGACTTTACTTGTTCCATTGGTTCGGCATTTCTCCGTGCGACTACTACGTTAGCGGAAAGTATGACGATCACAATTGTGTCCACATTCGAGCATGACATCTTCTCGAGCGTTTTCGTTTAGTGAAGATCTTTAGGTGATTTTGCAACTTAAGGAGATTCAACGTGATATCAGGTGTGCCAGCGAAATTTTCTCGGCAAATTCCAGAGACCAATA